AAGCACTTAATGGAAAAAGTGCTTAATCTGTTAGTACGCTGGGCGTAACCCAGTGTACGCTGCGCGTAAGTCCTAGAGCCCCAGTACGCTACGCGTACCAGGGTGGTACGCTAAGCGTACGCATCACAGATGAGCTTGGATCTGTTTTGGGCCTTTGAGCTGTTGGGCCTCATTTAGTTATTAGACTTGGTTGCATTCTGAGAATAGTGGGCCATTTTATCTGTTGGGCCATTGGTGTTATGGTAGGGCCCTATTGGGCCAAGAGGCCCATTAATGATTTTGGGCATGGACTTTGGGCCCATTAACAAAGAGAGGATATTTGGGCCTTTTTGGAAGGACTTGGGGTTTGGGTTTCCCTTTGATTGTGTGATGTCCTAACATGGATTAACCTTATTGTTCAGCACGGGAGGTTACGGGCAGTTAGGAGAGCAGTTTTCGGATTCTTCGGACAGAGGTGAGTCTCCTCACCATACTAATGAGTCTAAGGCACCAAGGCTGGCCCATTTCTTGATATGTAGTGTCCTAGCTGAAATTGTATTATTTGGCATGATAGTTGGTATGAGCTAGGAAGTATGCTAGTAGTATGTGTGGTATGTTTGTATGGAAGACCATGGGAGAGCCCATGGCACTTGGATATAAGACCATGTGGAGAGCCCATGGCTTTCCTATCAAAGACCATGGGAGAGCCCATGGCACTTAGGTGTAAGACCATGTGGGGAGCCCATGGCATCCTGGAGTAAGACCCTGGGGACGAGCCCACGGCATCCTTATCTGTTGTATGCATGACTTATGTGATATATATATAGCTATTATATGTTGTATGTGATTTGTGTGTGGGTATGCTCTGGGGAACTCACTAAGCATTAGCTTACAGTTTGTGAATTTGTTTCAGGTACATCTGAGCCCAAGGGCAAGGGCAAGGCTTGACGGCGCGGCGTGCACTCTCTCATCGATCTTTATGGGACACTCTGATGTTTTTAAATAATGTTGTAATGAATTTGGATTTGAAAACTATTGTTTTGGAATTTCATGGCTTATGGAAATGTGTTTGATTAATTCAAAAAAAAATCATTTTTGTAAATTTGGGTCATTACAGTTCAGGGCTTGTTCGAACAGATGAGTAAGTGTAATTGAAAGCTTTATAATGTCCACATTCTATCTATTTGTTTGGTTTCTTTCAAAAAAACTTATTAAAATGGACATGATAAAGCTTTCAATTACAAGTACCCATATGTTCGAACAAACCCTAAACATTATTCACTGGATGATCCTACATTCTAGATGTCTAAATCCGAGAAGGGCGTCTACATCTACAAGAGTTTGCATCATCAAATATCTTCTTTGTAGATCTTGAGTTGGACATCAACGATTGAGAGGAAGAAGAAGAAGTAGCTATTACAAGAGATCGAACACAGACATCGTTCGTTTTTCTCTTCTCCAAGCCCTAAATCAATATATAAAGGACAATTCTAATTTGTTTATTCCATGTCATTAAATATAATGACATGTCATTTGTCAACTAGTTGTATACCTATTGAATCTGGTTGCCTCTAATGAGAATTGAACAAAAGCGTAAGTTCGTTGGGTTTTTTTCAACAAACAAAACATGATTGGGGTTTTGTGAACGGTTTTGAAACTTCGTTGGTCTTACAAGCCATTTTCCGATATTTAATTACACGTCATAAGTCATGTCATTCGTTGACTTTCGTTAGCCGGTTGACACTAAATGAGAAATGTAAGTTAGTTGGGCTTTTTAGACAAAATGTTAAGTTTGTTTGATTTTATTGAACAGACAAAATATAATTGGTGTTTTTGAACGGTTTGGAAACTTCGTTAGTCATTTTCCCTTATTTCGAAAATAAAAAATAAAAAAAAAATTCCCCGCATCCATATTGATCATTTTTATGAAGGTCCTTAAAAATTCTTACGATTTCAGATTAATTGGCTAAATATTTGTTTACAATTTGAAAAGATATTACATATTTTGTAAAAGTATAATATTGTTACATACTTACATAATTGAAAAAACCGGTGATGCATAAATAATTACTTAACGCACTTCCCTTAAAATATATGATTATTCAAACGGCAATTCAACAAACTTTAATAATTACTTAACCCACAATTCGACACCTTATTTTTTTTCAAAACTCAAGTGGCAATTTTCGTAATATTTGGTCCACCAATGGTCTCTTTTGCATTGCGTTTGTTAAAAGTTAAAACCCACGTCCCTGCACCTTTCCACATTCGGCTTTCTCTCTCTCTAGTTTTCTGTGAGAGAAAACATCTGTAACAATGGCGGAAATTGTACGGAGGCATGGACATCGTATGTCGATGAATAGACGCGATGAAGTTGGAAAAGAAAAATGGGCGAAGCATTACTCTTCGAATCACCAGATACTGTTAGTTGGAGAAGGAGATTTCTCCTTTTCTCTGAGTCTGGCGATGTCATTTGGCTCTGCTTCAAACATTGTCGCCACTTCTCTCGACTCTTATGGTAATCAATCCTTACTGCTTTTATCATCTATTAAATCGCCGTCTCCAATCCTAAAAAGTCAATAAGTTTCCATAATCAGCTTGATGCATTATATTTGTTAAGATTGTAGGCCTATTTTTTCTTTGTTTTGATACCGTTCCTCCATGGTTAATGCTGAAAGCGTATATTGACTGTGATAAATTTGATCCTTTACATTTGTGTTAAACATTTAGTTATTTGTTTGTATCAAGCTCTTTGAAAGTTCTGATTTCAAAGTTTTCAACCCATTTGTATAAAGAGGGTTCATTATGTTATTTGTATCAAATTCTTTTGGAAGTTCATTTACGTTACATTTTAGTGGTTTATAAAATGTTTATGTTAAATTTTTAACAATGGATGAGTAAAACTAAGTTTAATGATTTTGGTATTAGATATGAATAGTGTAAAACTCTTTTGATGTTCATCGTATATCCACACTGTTCATTGTAGTGCAACACCTTTTTTCCAACATAAATTATTTAATTGTTTAAAATAATGTTTGTAAGTTTAATATTTATTGATTTGTTATTAAATTGAAATGATCCCTTTGGGGAAGCATGGTTTTCCTGGTTTTTTGGGAATGTAATTTTTGTTATCCAAACACCAAAAATATCTTGTTTTATATGCATATTAATTAAATAAAGCTTCACGGTAGATCTTAATTTGTTATCAAACCAGTCAATCTTTTGCTTCAAATGCATAACTTAATGGTTTTGTGATTTGAGCAAAATTTGATTTTTCCTAGATATTCTTATCAAGAAATACAATAGAGCAAAATCAAACGTGGGAATCCTGCGTTATTTTGGAGCTCAACTATTACATGGAGTTGATTCAATCAACATGAAACTTCATACCGATCTTCGAATCCGAAAGTTTGACCGAATTGTATATAATTTCCCACATGCCGGTTTTCTAGGGAAAGAAAGTGATCACTTGGTCATCATGTAAGCTTCATTTTACTTGAAACTTTTCAAACTCTTAGTAATATTTTTCCTCGAAATTTTAAAGTTTCTTTTGCTTTACTCATAGGATGCACAAAAATTTGGTTCGTGGTTTCTTCATGAATGCAATCGACATGTTGCTGCCAAACGGTGAAGTTCATGTAACTCACAAGACTGCTCACCCGTTTGACTCATGGAATATCGAAGAACTGGCAACTCAAAGTGGTTTAACATTGATTGAATGCATGGATTTCAAGATTGAAGATTATCCTGGTTATAACAACAAAAGAGGAGATGGTAAGGATTCCGACCTTCCATTTCCTTTAGGGAAGTGTAGTACTTTCAAATTCATATTATCTTCACAAGCCATGGAATATTTAACCACTTCACACCATAGAAGAAACCCTCAACAACCTCAAGAAATTCCATTACAAAGAGGAAATGCAAATGCAAGGATGGATTCATCAATTATGATGAAGAGCAAGGAATGCTTTTGGATTTTCAGGGAGTATTTCAATCATGTGCGACTGACATCTGGGAAAGTTGATGACTTTCTTACATATTCTGTTAAGGACATGCTAAGAATCGGGTTTGAAAGATACAATGCAGAAAATCATGGAAAACCCTTGGATGGTTATGTAGATCTTTTAAAAGAGCTTCATAGTTTAAGTAAACAGAGGGTCACATTCTTGCAAAAGTGGTTGATGGAAATGGATCGCTATCGCTTGTAAGGTCTGATTTGATATTTACCTTCAGATTTTTGTATCAAATGCTCGTGGACATGGTTGTAGTCTGCTAATCCAGAAGAAAAAAAAACATGTAAACTGTGATATCTGGCTTTTTATGCTTTTATGTTTTTTTAATGAAAATATATCACGTGGCCACCACATCAGAAATTTATTGAAACAGAATTAAAATTTAGTGATCGAAAATGTATAATCAGAAATTTAGAGTATTTTGGAGCTTCAAAATTAAGGGGCCGTTTGATAGTTGTTGTCTGGGAAAGTGCTGTATGGAAAAGTGCTGTCTGGGAAAGTTTTCTGACTGGGAAAGAAACAATGCTGTTTGATTGTACATATGACTGACTGTGCT